AGTGGTCTAAAGCACCTACTTAGAACAAGCTTAGCAAAGCACAGAGGATCGCGGTTCGATACCCAAGCACCACATGCCAGCCAGCCCCGCCCCCTGGTGGGCTGAGCTGGCCACACACACACACACACACACACACATAAATAAATAAATAAATAAAATTTTAAAAAAAGAAAAAGAAAACCCCAGAGGAGTCAACCTGCCAGCACCTTTATCTTGGACTTCCAGCCTCCAGAACTGTGAGGAGCAAGTCTCTGTTACTTAAGCCACACAATCTATGATATTTCTTTTTCTTTCTTTCTTTTTTTTTTTTCTTTTTTGCAGAACTGGGGATTGAACTCAGACCCTTGTGCTTGCCAGACAATCACTTATTCTACTGAGCCATCTCTCCAGTCCCCTGTGATATTTCATGACAGTGGCCCTAGCAAACTAAAGTGGGAAACAGGGAGAGGACTGGAGGTGTAAGCAGAGAAAAATGCAACCAACAGGCATGGAGCACAGGAATAAAACAGTCAGGTGTGGTGCACACACCTGTCATCCCAGCACTCAGGAGGCTGAGGCAGGAGGATCACTGTTGAGTTTGAGGCCAGCCTGAACTACAAAGTGAGCTCAAGGCCAGCCTGAACTGTATACTAAGACCCTGTCTCAAAAAGACTAAAATGAAAACATAGACAAGTTGTACTTTCCTGTAGCAAGTGTTCCATTTCCCAGAACCCCTTGCACTTAGGAACAGGTAGTGTCCAAGCTTTGTTGATTCTAGGCATGAAGCACTGGTGCACAGTTGGCAGCGGCCAAGCACAGGGAAATAGGAACCTTTGGCAAGGATGGAAGGAATAGGAGAGACAGACTCTTCTGACAGACCCCAACACAAGTGTCAAACAGTCTCGACAGTCACTCTACTACAAAAAACATCTTTCAATAGAAATAAATAGCACTACTCTGAACACGTCTAGAAGTCCAGCTACTCAGGAGACTGGGGTAGGTGGATGAAAAATGAGTCCAACCTGGGCAACTGGGCAATTCAGGAAGGCTCTGGGTACAGAATTCCAACCTGGGGCCAGCCAGATAGCTCAATGGACTAAAGCGCCTGCTTAGGCAGAGAGCAGCAGTCAGTTCTATCCCCAGTGTGCTGTGCTGGCCCCACCCCCAGGGTGTGCTGAGACTGCAATTGAGACGGGGCATGGTGGTGTGAGCCTGTAATCCCAGTGCTTGGGAGGCTGAAAAAAACAGGAGGATCACTATGAGTCTAATCTACAGAGTGAGACCCTGTAGACCCTGTATCCCCTGTACTACATGCATGAACAGTGGAAGAAGGATCCTACCTATTAGCAAAGGTGAGATGTTTGAGGAAAAAGGCTAGTGGAAAGGATTTACTAAATTGGGAGAAAATTCAAATAAGGTGGTGACCCTCAATGTTCAAACCCTTTAACCCAGGGTCTGTGCTAAGTAAATAATCTATAATATGGAAAAGGTTTTATGTATTGTAACACAGGACTGTTTATACATGGAAAATAATCAAATATAAAACAACATGGCGGGGCTGGTGAGATG